TGATGTCTGTGTGAGTCTTGGTAATTCAATACATTTTCTGTGAAACTTTTTCTGCACAAACTCTTTGTAAAGTCTTTCATAATATCTGATGCTCACAACAGTGCTGACACTTGTAGAATCACAGTTTTGAATAAAACAAATGTAATGTTGCCCTTTTATTCAGAGATTAGTCTCTGAATGAGATCAGTGAATCAAGTCACTAAATGATGATTGTCATCACGATTCTCTAACAATCAACACCCATTCATACTTTTCCTTGACCTTTGTGCCATAACATATTTGTTTTATAAACACTCAGTTACAGCAACCAAAGAAAAACTTGTATGCAAAAGTCAAGGGACAAGAGCACAACTAAAGCAAACGCTGATCTCCATCATGGTGACCTTAAACAAAACTCAAATCATCAACTTCTAAACCTCTGTTAATTCTAATAAGAACTTCTGTAGACGAATGGCAGTAATAAAGTCAAACTGGTTAATAAAAAGTGAAGCTGGTAATGCTGTTTGTGGAGTTGTTTAATCCTCCTGAGATCTTCAGAGATGTAACATCTTCAGTTGATTCCATCTAAGGCTGTGGCTGAAAGTCAGTTGTAGTTCTTGTTTGTCTCTTTTCTTCAGTGATTCTGCTTGTTAACAGCAGTCACTAATGCATCACTAATGCATCAATCATCACTTAATTATACAAGTATTATTCAATTATCTTTCTGGGACCTAGAAATGTTCTATAACTCATTCAGTTTGAGTTCTGTTTCAGTCATTCAAGTTTCAGTAATATTTGAGTACAGTGAACTCAATTCTATTTAGTACATATTACTGTTAGGTTTTACAGTAAGTTTCGGACGCACTCACCCCCCTATACCCCCAACCCAACATAGACAACTACCCTGTGTACATCTAGCCCTGCTCTCCCTATTGGTCATCATCCACCTCACACTTACTGTATCACAATCAGCAGGTGAAAAATCCATTTGTTGATATATTCTAGTTCACAGACACAAGCCTTTTCCCGTACCAGGGTTGGGTTGTCATATCTTGAATGCATTCTGGGTGGTGTGAGATGTGATGGGTTAAGTCTCTAATTCCTTGAAATCCTGTCTAACAAGTTTGTCATTCTTATTTTAACCGAACTTCTAAACATTGTGAAATCATTTTTTATTGTATATATTTATGCAGTATATTTGTATAGATACGTTATAACTGGTTTAATATCAGATATTCTGTTTTAAAATTCAATCTTTAAAGAGATTTGCCAACAGTATAAACAAAACAATCAAAATCAATGAATCTCTTAAGTGACCCTATAAGGTCTATGTTTGATACACATTTATAAGGCCTTTAAATTATCAACATGAAAAAAAAAAAACGTTGCTGAAAAACCTGTTGTACACAATCTTCCACATTAATCTGATTGATAGTTTATGATATATATAAAAAATGATATATATTTATATATATATATATGCCTTTTAGTATAATTCTAAAACTGTCCACTTTCAGGTCTTGGTATACATGCCTTTTTGCTGTGAAATCTTTAATGATTTTTAAGTAAATGTGAGAATACATTTTTTATTGTTAGTAATATTTTAAGATAAACATGTACTGCGTTGAAGATTGATTATCCATTCTTATTTTTTTGTTTGTTGAAAAATCATGTTACATTGTATCAAATATGGTACATCAAGTTTGGAGGAATGTTTATTGATTATGATTATTTGTACATTTCTCAATCATCCATGAATTGCATTACATTTACAATATGTTTTCCATTACAAACTAGATTTCATAAAACTAAGCATTTAAATATCATCTTACTAAGACATATTATTGGGAGATATAGAGTGACAATCGATATTAAAAAAATGCATTTTAAAATGTCTGCTATAATCTCTTTGATTTACAATGAAAGTTGTCAGAATTTTATCTTTCTTTTTGGCCATATAAATACCAGCAACTGCACCAAATTGCATATTTTTGCCCAGGTTGGGCCTCTGAATAAAATGTAGGCGTATTTTTGTAACGGGGTTCAGATGTTATGGGAAGAAGGAGGCGGGAACCGGTGAACATTCAACACTTTAATAATAAAATAAACAAATACAAAATGAAAGTAAAGCCAGCAGCCCCTCACGGACGACTGCTGGCCACAGAAACAAAACACAACATAAAATAAGGCCTGTTCCTCTCTCCATCTTCACGGTCGTCGCTCCTCCTTTATGCTTCCGCTCCTCCGTGAGAGATGCGAGACCGGTGCGTCTCACAGGTGTCGCTCATTACCACTCACGCCACCGGCCTCGCGCCGCTCTCACGTCACGCGGCCTCAACAAAAACACATATGTAATCTTTTTATTAAGATTTTGTGTAAGGTTCTTTAAACTGTTCCATTTAAAAAAAACTAGATTAAATATTTCATGTCAGGGTTTACGGGGTTAATGATTATAAAATGAATACATGTTAATAATTGAGTCAGTCTATGGTCATTGAATTGTAAGCATCATATCCACTTGGTCAACAAGCTAGTATTATATTAACTGAATACTTTGTTACTCTTATTCAAGTAATTATATGTTATTTAACAGTTTTTTGAGTAGTTGTGTTTTAAGTACCAGTCTGTACAGTTTAGGCTACTCTATAACGAGGTCTGAATAAGAAATAATAATAATAATAAAAGTCATTTTATTATGTTTTGGCTGACAGGGATGTCTCAGATGTGGAAATGTGCAAAAGAAACATTGGATTCTCATAAACCTCAGAGCTGGCCCAGATTCAGTCTAACATTACCTAACACGACATTGCTGATGGTAACAACCTTGTTCCAGCAGTGATTGCCAGTCTGTGCTGGTATTTCTTATGTTGTTGTGTCTTTCTGTGAGTCAGCCACTGCTTTGTTTCCCTTGGACACATAATATCAATATAAACACAGCCATGAGAATTATATGCAACACTGAGGGCCTGGGAAATAAATCCAGTTTCGGTCTGCTCCATATTTGATGCATTTTACATGCGGTACATATAACATATTTTATTAGATCAACAAACAGACAGACAGACAGCTAGATAGACCGATCAAAACGATGCAATAGAATTGGCAATTGAATGTTTCCCCAAATAACCTTATTGAACAGTTCTTAATAGAACCACTTTCTTAGTATGAATAATATTTGAATAATCTGAAGAACAGACAGACAGACAGACAGATAGATAGATAGGCAGACAGATGGACAGACAGACAGATGGACAGACAGACAGATAGGCAGACAGATGGACAGACAGACAGATAGATAGGCAGACAGATGGACAGACAGATAGATAGATGGGCAGACAGATGGACAGACAGACAGACAGATAGGCAGACAGATGGACAGACAGACAGACAGATAGGCAGACAGATGGACAGACAGATGGACAGACGGACAGACATATAGATAGGCACAGATGGACAGAAAGACAGATAGATAGACAGACGGACTGACTGACAGATGGACGGACGGACGGACAGACAGATGGACGGACAGACAGACAGATGGACGGACGGACGGATAGACAGACAGAGACAGATAGATAGACAGACAGAAAGATAGACAGACGGACAGACAGACAGACAGATAGACAGACGGACTAACAGACAGACAGACAGATAGATAGACAGACGGACGAACAGACAGACAGACAGATAGATAGATAGATAGATAGATAGATAGATAGATAGATAGATAGATAGATAGATAGATAGATAGATAGATAGATAGATAGATATGACACAAATTAAAATAAACAAAGGGCTGTATGAAGCAAAACTCTGTGTCAGCAAGATGAGTCAGTTAAAAACAGAAGTAAAAGATTGAAACTTTCGGTCTCTGAAGGGAAATGCACATTACTTTTGGTGAATACAGTTATTAATGTACAGTAAAATTAATTTACAAATTAAAATGTCAATTGAACATAATAAAAAAATGCTGAGGGTTACAAATATTAGAAACAATAGAAAATCAAAAACCTACCATAACTGATTAAATTCATAGTGCAATTCACCCGTGACTCAAGACTGAATAAGACGGTGATTATACAACAAATATTTTACCCTGACCCTAATCTGTCTACATATAATGGGAGTTCAATGATACATTACACAGTCAGGGAGCAACGCATTCTAGTCAAACCCATTTGTATTGTCAAGGAGGATTACATGTGCCTAGACAAGCTTTAATGGGATTGCAGGAAAAATAAAGTAGAAACACACTATATATTATTAGTTACTGTTTAGCTTTTAGACAAGAATTATATATATATATATATATAATATATATATATATATTCTGCATCCCGGAGCTTGACTCCCCCGGCTGAGTCACTGTTAGAAAGAGGAAGAAAACTTGAGAGGAACATATTAGGGAGGTTTTTCTAAATACAAGGAAAACAGAAGGATGCTAATGTTTTAAAGGAAGTTGAAAAATCGTCAAGTTAATTAAAATTAAGTTAATGCCTGATGCCGTCATTTCAAGGATGCCGTTTCCCCCTCCCGAACACACTCTGCTAAGAAAATATGCTTTGAGATTTGCAATCTGCTATTTGCTTTAATCTCAGGTATTCTCAGATAAACCATTAATAAGGGATCCGATTTGTGCCAATAAAAAATTAACATAATTTTTCCAGAAACTGAAAATAACTTTTCTCAGTTCCCCTGAGGTCATTGTAAGTGGAAATAATTTCACCCCAGTGTGTTTTTGTGTATGACAAAGCCTTTCTGGTCTGCTGTGACTCAGATGATCCTGCATGTAAACCCGATGAAAACCAGATGAACTTAGTTTTCTTTTTATGAGAATTGTTGCAACATTTGTATTGTTGGGCTGGGCTGGAGTAATTCTAACAAACAACATTTTCATGGGCTCCATAAACATGCAAGAAAACAACAACAGCAAAGGGTTGTATAACATCTGTGCCAGTCAGATGAGTAAATAAGACGATTTCAGAGCAACTTTGCCCACAATCATGAAATTCAAAGTCAGGAATGGAAAACCAGTGCATATTTTTCCTGAATACATTCCCACCCTTTACACTTTTTCAGAGGTTTATTTGAGGTCTTCTCCGCAAAGCAGCACAACACAATAGCAAGCAAGGATTTATGCTTTAAACAAAACAAAACCCCAAACAATGCAGGTTTCATTAACTGTGTGAGTGATAAGTTAAAGCTGACATAAAAATACAACAAGAACAGAAACTGTGCAATTGAAACACAATAGAATTGTGATCAATATATTTTCTACACAAGCATAATGAATAAGCGCATTATATTTGATTTATTTCATAGAAGAACTCTATACATTTTTAGACCCTTGAGCATAAACACTGTCAAATCTACAAGTGCTGTATAATAATTATTCAGCTGACTGAATAAACAGAGAAAATCATCTATGACCAAAGACTGAATAACGCAACTTAAGATGGTCTATTTGAAGGGAATGGTGAGTTCAAGAACAAAATCAACAAGTTCTTCTCAAATCCACGTGAAATGAATGAAAGATGAGAATCACAAGCACTAAAACAAGCTTTAACAGGAAGTACAAAAAAGCTAACACATAATAGATGATCATATTTAAATTAATGCAATAATGTAATAGGCTATTTTTTAAGTGGCATGTCTCTGTACTGCCCGAGAAATCAAACGAGAGGAGATAATGGGATTCTAATGTTGTAGATGAAACTTGAAAATCATCCATAGTTTCTAAATGACCGCCTGATGCCATCAGTTCAAATATCAAGTCAGCTCAGGGAAAGTATTTTGACAAAGAACAATGATGCTCAACATTTGTAATCTGGCATTTGCTAGTATCAAAATCTCTATAAAAAATTACATTCTAATGATCAGAGCTAATGCTCCTTTATACCAGCTAGGATCAAGACCACCGAGGTCATCAAAAACTTCAAAAACATTAAAATATATCCTCAGACATAAACGAGTTTAAGAATACTCAAACTGAATAGCATTCGTAGTAATATTTTGCTTCGGCCTACAGAAGAGAATTTGCACAAAATACTACATGCTTCTGTTAAAATTATTTCCTGTTACAAAAATATATTTAACTTCTTTAGCTGGTAAATATATTTAGATCTTGATTGCATACACTTTTATAAGTAACGTTGTTCGTGTGTCTGTGTGTGTTTAGTGAGTAGTCAAGGACTGTATATCCGTGTCAGAGCCGAACAGCTCTTTGTATAGCGGAGGGAAGAGGGAATGCACCGTGAGAGGGTAAAGCTGCCGAAACCATCGCAGTTTCTCAATATGCAGCGTACACAGAGACTTCAACACCGGCACTCTTTGATACAGCTGGAATCATACAAAAACACAACATTACCAGTTAAAATCCATTCCAGCCAATATAATTCCGCACTTTCTGCCTTGAAATCCTGTCTTTTTCTCCATCTCTTTTACCTTATGCAGCAGACTCTCCTGATTGTCTCTGTGCATGATGTGACTAAGGGCAAGCTCCACATCTCTCCTTACTTTCTGCACTCTTTCTCTGTCTTCCAGACATGGTCGATCTACTCAAAAATGTAGAGAAAGAACGAGAAATTAAGCCAATTGTACTTTAAAGTCAGAATTTCTGCAGTTTTACTGTGCTCACCTGCATTGATGAGGACCAGTGCAGTGAACACTGCCATCTGCTGTTCAGTCAGTCTCAGCGCACACAGATTGTGAGCAAAGTCAAATACAGCAGCTATTAGATCGCTACACGCTGAAGAACAAACGGACACAAAAGCAAAGGTGTAAAATGATTGATAATAGATTAAAAAAACTGAATAATATCCTTTTTGTAAGAGAAATGCACTCAATTGTATTGAATGTGCACTTGTAGTGTATAACATCTTAAAAGTATATTTTTAAAAAGCCATACTTGCGTATAATATGATATGAATGAAATAAAAGGCCAAATAAGTGTACTTAAACAGAGCACACTTTCATGGCACACTTTTCATGAGGGTCCCTACATGCAAAACGAAGCATTGAGAACTTTGTAAGTGTACAGACCGTTTAATAAGAAGATAAAGATAAAGATAGTCCACTTCGTGTAAACAGACAGGAGCCATCCTTGGAAAACAGTCTCGACTAATCAAACCACGAACGACGTGCTAAGTGAGCTGAACTGTATGATGTTCAGTGAACTTCTGAACTGTATGAATGGCGTTCGTAATTGGGTCAAAATAGCACTCTAAAGTTAAGGTAGTTGCATTTAATATAAATATATATATATATATATAAAAACAACATGTTCCATTTAATTGCAATTAACATGCAATCAAATGTCCAAAAACATTACATTCAATTCAAACTTAAGGATATTCTTGTAGTCTTTTTTTTATTTTTATGTATCCTTAAATGTACATATTTTAGGGATTAGACAAATATGATTAAATACAGGTTTGTAAAAACATGCCGACAAATCATGCTCTTAGACTGGAAGTCTAAGGGTGATCGCTGTAGACCAAAATATTCCTTTAACTCACCGAGAGATTTGAAAAGTTCTGTTCCTGCAAATTTGCCGTCAAAAAATACTGTGTTGTTTTCTGTGTTAAACATCCGACTCATCCGAACCAGAACCACTTCCATTGACCCTAATAAGAAAGAGAGAATGAATGTAGTTTTTGAGAGATGAAAACATGAGAGAGAGATGAGAATTGAGCTGCTGTAAACCTTACCAGTCTTAATCAATTAACTATTATGTTTTTAAGAAAGATATATCTCACCACTCTTGAGGAGAGCAATTTGATCATTCTGACAAAGCTGACGGAATCCTGGGATACGTTTAGCAAATTCCACCACATACTGAACGGCATCGGTCAACCTCACCGCACAGTGCTGCCACATCTCATCCACCGACTACAGACAGAGGACAGAGAGATAGAGTGAGAAGGGAGGGACTGTGTTGCACACAATACAAGTCAAAAGTTTGGCTGGTGTTTTTGAATGAAGTCATAAGGCCTGATATTCTCACTGCAGAGTTCTTCATTCTTTACCCAGGGGTTAAAAAGAATTTAAAATGTTACACTGTTTGCAAACATCCCGATGTCAATGCTGTTGGTATTAGTATTTAAATATGTGATGCATGCTATTTTCTTAATAAAACAAAAAACACACAACAAAATGGCAGAAATTTCCAGGAATTCCAGGCCATCTCCAAATCTGTAAAGGCTGTGCATGAGCGATCACAGAGATGTGGATGTGTTTGCAATTCGGCACTCCAGTGTATTCATGTTTTTACTCTTGTCTGATCTGGACACTGAGCGAAGAAATTAAATGAAAAACATTTCATAGCCTCAGAGCATACCCACATATTGCATAATCGTCATAGACCAATTGCAATGCCAATAAGTGTTACAGTCGGCTTGAAGTTTAATAAAAAGTTTGCAAGTTTCTAAACAAACTCAAAACACGTAGTTTGACCAGATTTTGTTTGAAATGGCATCACACTCATTCATTCTTCGATTTAGCTTGAAGTATATCGGGGCCTTAATGTTAAAAAAGATGTGCAACTATTTTTCACAATTGTGAAATTATGTATCTTCATTGTAACTTTTTTTCTTGTTATTGTGACTTTATATTTTACAACTGCCATTTTATTTCTCGTAATTGCGAGATTGATAATTTTTCACAATTGGTAATTTTTTCTTCTATCTTAGATCAGAAAGAGGAATGTGTGACTAATGCTACAGTGTTTCACATGGTCATCACAGTAAAGCCCAAAGTATAATTCAGTTTTATGTGTTCGTTAGTTGTCACGTGTACACAGCTCATTGTTCCACAGCTGAAAAAAAACTGATGAGACAGCAACAACGATGGACAGCCACATTTAACTGTGGTTAAGAGATACAACTCAATTTTAAATGAGTACAAAGATATTTTATTGGTCATGACTGGAGAGAAATAGCACAGATACTGGACGCTTGAGTCCAATTCACACTGCACTGACAGACGCCAACCAATGTGGACAATCACCAGATTACAGTACTTCACTTCTCAGACATTCCCCAAGCCAAAAAATTCAGATTCAACGTGTTTAATGGGCGAAAAAAGAGCTGACCAGCAGCAACAGACACCGACCGGGGTAACACACTGATCCGACAAAACCCGATGAAGTGTCTGTTGGTGCGAATTGGCATTTAGCGCGCATGTAAAAAAACAGATGTATACTTTGGGATTTACAGTTTTGCTAGTTATAGAAGAGTAGAGGACATATACTTTGCTCTGGTAAGCATGGATCTCCTCCCTGCTGAAGACCTTCCATCTGAGAGCCTGCAGTTCCTCCGGTCGATACTGAGTCGTCTCTCTGTGAGAACGTACGATACTTGCAGAGAGCTCCTCTGTCAAAAATCACACAAAAAGAGACACGTTAATCTGAATGCACGACATTCCGACACAACATAGTTCAACTCCTAACCCTATTAAACCACTTCATTCCACCACATAGCACACATGACATTTTAAAAATGTGCTAAACTGCTTGCGGTTCTCACCTATGTGCAGAGAGGTCGGATAGGAAAAGAACGAGCTCTCAGGGTCAAAAGGACGAAACCCCATTTCACTGCCGCTCATGTTCAGAATAGTCTCTGGTGTAGACCTTGTAGAGTCAAATCCTGAAAGATAGAAAAGAGAAAATGATAAAACACAATATCTTATGAGATTTCTAGATGAAAATGAGGTCACAATTGAAATTAGGGTAGCCTTAACTACTATGTACCTAAAAGACTATGCACTGTGTATTTAAATTTTACCTTGGGAAATTCACACAATTATTGCTAGTGAGTTTGAGGTATGGTTGCTTTTCGAAATAATGGTGCGAGCGCAACGGTCAAACATGTCCGGCTAGCACGTTTACATAAAAAAACTATGGAAAAGTAGTGCAGTGGAATGGAAAAACGCGTTTTGTGTGAACTTAGGATTAATAGTGTAGGATTAAGGGCCGGGTCTACTTTCCATGTTCCGTTCCGTTGCCTTTCAAAATACACTCCTTTGGCCGTGAGTGTGGAAAGATGCGTTTGGCGCGTGTGCACTATCTAGTGGACTTTGTTTACAAGCGCTCAAGTCACTCACACATGCACTGTTGTACACACACCATCTGTGCGGACACAAGAATTGGGCTGTACGCAGACAGTGTGAGTGGATGTCTGTGGACCCTCCTGATGACAAGCTGTTGCTTTTAGCTTATAATGATTGTTCTGTTTTAAATTGTGTTTAGTATTACTTGTGTTACTAATTTCTATTAGCTCTATTTTCTCTGTGTACAGCACTTTGGTCGGCCAATGGCCGTTTTTAAATATGCTCTATAAATAAAAAAGAAAGAAAGAAAGAATGATTAAAACTTCTGCGGACCCTCCTGATGACAGTGAGTGGACCGTCGCAGGCTTTAGGGTTAGGAATAGTGGATTAGGCCAATTCACACTGCACCAACAAACAAAAACCAATGGGAACAGACACTTCGTTTGGTTTTGTCGGATCATTGTGTTACCCCTGTTGGTGTCTGTTGCCGTTTGTCAGCTCTTGTCTGTGAAGTGACATACTGTAATCTGTTGACTGTCATCGTTGGTCTGCGTCTGCCGGTGTAGTGTGAATTGGCCTTTAGAGTTAGATTTTGGAGTAAGGGTTTGGGTTACAGTTAGGGTAAAATTAACAAATGTTAATTAAATGCAAGTACTTTAAATGTAATTACGATGCAACGACATCATATCGTTCATATTTAAGTATATTGTATCAAATGGTTAAGTACATAGTAGTTAAGGCCACCTAATATAAAGTGTGACCGAAAAAGTAATTCCATCAGTGTTAAATACAATTATTTTTGGAGAATTTCTCACCTCTACCTGCTGACAAGCTGTTGCTCTCACCTCTCCTGTGGGAAACCCTGTAGGCCAGACTCTGAGCCTGGGCCTCGCCTATGCGACACTCCAGGTATGGATGTACCTCTGGTGGGCAGCCTGGCAGTTCAGGCTCAACAGAATAAGGGTAGGCTTGAGGTAGAGGCGGGATGAGATGTGATGTCTGTTCTCTGGGCTCTTTGCCGGATCGGTAGGCTGGGAGAGACTGAGGCTCTTGGACTGAGTTGGCCTGAAGACGCTGCTGTTGTCGATGTCTCTCGACTTCTGCAAACAGCGAGTCTCTCTGACGCTTGGACATGCGGCCAAACTTCACCGCTGAGGGAGACGAGAAAACATCACTACAATTAATTATTGCATTCATGCATAAAATGAGTATCAAAACTGAATTCATCCATCCATCCATTCTTCCATCCATCCATCCATCCATCCTTTCTGACCATCGCGGCTCATCCCCTGAGCGACACATTTTTTGAGGCGGCAGCTCTGGCAGCGGTTACGGCTGGCGCGGTCGATGGGGCAGTTGCTCTGCCTGGAGCACGAGTACTGCACGCTGGAGGACTGACTTCTGCGGAAGAAGCCCTGTAGAGGCAGAGAGAGAGAGAGAGAGAGAGAGAGAGAGAGAGAGAGAGAGAGAGAGAGAGAGAGAGAGAGAGAGAGAGAGAGAGAGAGAGAGAGAAAGAGGTGGGTGAGGTGTGGAACAATTAGGCGGAATGTGCTAAAGAAATATTTGACATTAGTAATTTTCTTTTTCTTACCTTGCAGCCCTCACAAGTGATCACTCCATAATGAACCCCTGAAGACTTGTCTCCACAGATCTTACATGGGATCACCTCAATCTGAGCTAAAGACACAAACAACACAACATCAAAACTGAGATTAAAGCCGTGATCATGTGCTTTAACACAAATATGTAGAACTGTCACAGTTGATTTAAATCATTCCTGATGCTATTCATTAGATTACAATCCTAGCCAGAAGATATACAGCCCACTAAAAAAAATCTGTTCAAAAGTTCCAGTTTGGGGTAAGATTTTTTTTTTTTTAACTTTTTTTTTTTTAATTAATACTTTTTATTCAGCAAGGATGCATTAAATTGATCAACAATGACAGTAAAGACATGTACACTACCGTTCAAAAGTTTGGGGTCAGTGAGAATTTTATTTTTATTTTTTGGAGGAAAGAAATCAATACTTTTATTTATCAAGGAATAATTAATTTGATCGAAAGTGACAGTAAAGACATTTATAATGTTACAAAAGCCTTTTGAACTTCCTATTCATCAAAGAATCCTAAAAAAAAAAAAAAAAAAAACTGTACAACTGACAGACCAACAACTGTTTCAACATTGATAATAATAATAAATGTTTCTTGAGCATCAAATCCTCATATTATACTGATTTGTGAAGGATCATTTGACACTGAAGACACTGACACTGGTGATGCTGAAAATTCAGCTTTGATCACAGGAATAAATTACACTTTACTATATATATTCACACAGAAAACAGCTGATTTACACTGGAATAATATTTAATACTATAACTGATTTTTGTTGTATTTTTAATCAAATAAGCGCAGCCATGGTTAGCAGAAGAGAATTCTTTTAAAAGTATTTAAAATCGTACCGACCCCAAACTTTTGAACGGTAGTGTATAATGTTGCAAAATATTTATATTTAAAATACATGCTGCTCTATATATTCATTAAAGAATCCAAAAAAAAAAAAAAATGGTATCATGGTTTTTAAAAATGTAGACTGTTTTCAACATTAACATCAACACAATAAAAAGTGTTTCTTGAGCACCAAATCAGCATACCGGTATGGAGTAATGATACAAAAAATTCAGCTTTGCCATCACAGGAATAAATTACATGTTACAGTATATTAAAATAAAATAAAGTTTATAAAGGGAGAAGTATGAATGAATTGCTACTGTGGTACAAGAGATTTTTATACTGTACAAACTGTATATTCTATCCTCTACCCATCACAGAAAACTTTCTGCATTCTTACATTTTCAAAAAATATCACTGATTTATGATTTATAAGCAGTTTTCCTCATGGGGACCAAAAAATGTCCCCACAAGGATTTCGACATTTTGCCCCCATAACATAGGGTTTACCAGGACCACACACACACTTTTGTGAGTGGTTGAAGACGTGCGTTGATGCTTTCAGATGTTAAAACGGCCAGAAAATACAAAATACATTGGTACAATTTCTGAATTGGTATTCTGTGATGAATGGATAGACTGATTAAAATGAACTAATGAAACAGTGGATGATTGGTTCTTTTGTAGTAGATGCCCTTAAGTGTATTTGCAGTTAAATGTATACATTCACATACACGGGTATAAATACACAAACCTCCTGAAACACAAATACACACTGGTTTTGTAACAGACTAAAGATAATCCCTGAAAGCCACATTAAGAAATCCTAATCTAATGAACAGAGAGAGAGAGAGAGAGAGAGAGAGAGAGAGAGAGAGAGAGAGAGAGAGAGAGAGAGAGAGAGAGAGAGAGAGAGAGAGAGAGAGAGAGAGAGAGAGAGAGAGAGAGAGAGAGAGAGAGAGAGAGAGAGAGAGAGAGAGTGTACAATGTACTCTCTTAAAAATAAAGAATCCAAAAAGGGTGATTTTGCAGTGATGCCATAGAAGAACTTTTCTGGGTTCCCAAAATAACCTTTCAGTGAACAGTTCTTAAAAGTTCTTCTTTTAAAGAATGTAACCATTTTCTTCTTTTTGTGGAATGGAAAGGTTCCATGAAGCTTAAAAGTTCTTCTTGATGTCAATAAAGAACCTTTATTTTTAAGAGTGGTACACACACATGCACATGTAGCCTACACATTTGTTTAATGTTGGGAAATGGTGTATAATGGCGTCTTTAGTTAGCATACTAAGCTAATGATATTTTCTTTCCCCAAGATTTAATAACAACATATGCATTGATGAATCGTTCACAATAAGATCAATAATATTCATGTAGAAAATAGATTTCTTTCAGATGTTCTTATTTTTATTTCATGCCATCTTTACTGTTCTGCTCTGGAGTTTTGTCTCAGAAGACAGATTTTGTTGCATGTTTGCAGGTCTTTAAGCTGTAAGTAAAAAAGGTTTATGTACGCGTGTGTGTGTGTGTGTGTTTTCAGTCAAAATGACAGTAAATCTAACCACTTATTTCTTGGAATCCAGCAATGTGTGTGTGGCTAAGTAATGTGGTCACATCGTCCAGTACCAAGGAACATGAGTCCCCTCCATCAAAAAGCATGCACACACACACACACACACACACACACACACACACACACACACACACACACACACACACACACACACACACACACACACACACACACACACACACACACACACACACACACACACACAGGTGTACAGGAGGAAGTGAGTGGGAGAATGATACAAGGTTATAGTTCATAGCGGATACACTCCACTGAGGCATATTAAAACATTAAAAAACAAATAATAAAAAAGTTGTAAAAAGGTTTTAACTAATGGGCTTATACTTGACATTGTTAACCAAGGGTCATTTTTAATCCTAGCTTAATGTAAAGCTGCGAGTAAATTTTGTGCAGCAGTGGGTAATTTCATTTTGCACAAATACCAACCACTCTGGTGAGCAACCTGTATATCGAACTACATTTGGCAAGATATAGAAGCAACAACACACTTCAATACATTAACATCTTGATGAAAGGAACATGCCAGTGCAGGTCAGATTGTGCTCTGCCGTTCACGTGCACATTCGTTGTGTCAGCGGTGTCTTAAAACAGCAACAATTCTCTCTAATGTGAATTGATTCTGGTTCACTGTGTATTTTGTGCACTGCTTATAATGTAATTATGAACACAAATTCTTCTAGATTCACTTTGATATTGCGCAATTTTAAATAGTTGTCAATGTAGCACGACAACATTGTGGTTATAGGTGTCAAGTGAATTGTCAGTACTCATCAACATTTGGTGCAGCTCCGAAAAAACAACGTCAGCCCAAAAAACAAAAGTGTGAATGGAAAGTTCACTGAAACCATAATGGAAGTTGACCTAAAGGAGACCAAAGTTCACTTTCAGTGCCAGGAACAGTGCAAATCAGTGGTTCTCAACCAATGGGCCCCGCTAGGGGACCTCAGCAATATTCTAAAGGGGCCTCAAGATGACTTAAAATTATTTAACCATTAAATGCTGCATTAATGTTTCGGCAATCATTATTACATATTCTGGTCTTTAGCAACCCGGATCTATTTCTAACATATCATCTATACATACATATCACGACACTGAACTCACAATACGATATTATTGCGACATATGGTAAAAGGTTAACAAAAAATGTACTGTTGATTAAAATGCTAAATTTGATATTACATTGTGGGTGTAAATGAATAGGCTTGGACTTGGTGCTGATAACCCAATGCACCGGACAATAGAGACACCAGAATAAAAATATTCATGGTTCTGAAGTTGAAAATACAGATTTATTTTAGACGAATATGCTTGCACTCGGTCACTCACTAGATATATTTAAAATAATATAGGCCACTTTTCACTGGTAACATAAGACATTTGGCTTTATCAGGACCCACAAATATTCCCCCATTGCATTATTATACATTATATTCAACAATTTATGAGGTAGTTTAATGTAGTACACTAAAACTCTGAAAACTATTTTTTCCTCACACAGTCATTTTTATTTTGGGTGAACTATTCACGATACATATTGTCACTATCCACGATACATATTGTCACTATCCACGAAACATATTGATGTATTTTTGTATTGCGATATATTGTTACACACCCCTAGTCGCAATAATATAAAATAAGGAATAAAGTCATTCAGTCATCAGATTTTAATTTTTGTTTTGCAGAAAAAATATATACTTACACGGTTACACACCTCGGGTTGTTAGCGACCCTATACAATTTTTTTAAAAATAGAAAGGGAAAACAGGAATTCTTTTATAAAAAATTTTTTTCTTGTTATAGTGTTTATAATAAATTGATTGAGGAATACTAAGAAGGTTGATGTCTAACTTGGATGAGGAGGAGGGTAGTGAATGACATCTAATGCTAATGACTTATAATGCTAGAATGATCATATTTAAATTCATAAAAAAGGTGATTCGAGGTAAAGTGGAATCTGAGTGTGTCATGTCAGTCTGACCTTTTCATGTCAGAAATTTAAGCTTCATTTGACGAGTTTTCCCACCTGGTCCATCAAAGCTCTTACAGTGGGTGAATCAAAGAAGGGCATTTTTTCACAAAAACAAAAAAATCAAATAACACGTCATGAATAAACAGGGAGATTCACCGAGACTGACTGAGACTGGGGGTATATTGAGTGTGAAGAGGTGGACGTGAAGGTGTCAACCTCAGAGTCTTTTTAAGTGGTTTACTGGCTTCTCTTTCGCTCTGACTTTCCCTCTTTCATGCATTATCTTGCTCTTTATTTCCCTCTCTCTGTCTCGCTCACAAAGGATGTGACTGCCAGTAATACACTCTTTCATCTGTGTTTTTACTGCCAGGAATGTCCCCCCTTCCCCCCCCCCCGCCCCTTTTGTTCTCATCCTCTCTTCTCCCAATCCTACCATCTCCCAAAGAAACTTTGGTGGAAATATTAATCTGATACAACACTCTTAAAAAAACTATATCAGAGATCAAAACATCTCATATTTATTGTCTTATTGGTGCATTGTAAGAGTGCAACTGAATGCAACATTTGTCATGCAATGTCATGCAACTAGATTTAATTAATCCTGTTTAAAAGTTTATTGATTTTTTTGGGGGGTATCATATTTGATACATCAGGCTTTTAAGAC